AGCTCAATAACAGTGGTAATAAATGTGTATGCTTTATTGATTAAAGAATAACGCGTGGGAAAGAATGTATTTCAAATAATATTTAAACATATTTTCGGGGTTTAGATATATTATGCTTATTGTTCATATTTCTCATACATTATACGATTGCYTAATATATAAYGGTTTATTTCTCAGGTGGGCATTAATTTTATAACACAAACAATAGGTACTATATAGGTTATATATGTATTATAAAACAATGATTGAAATCGTTTAATAACTTGTTTAGTAGTTTAAAACATCGATAGTTGTTGTGCATCTTTTTCAATCGTTTTTATTGGTACCTAATTAAATTGTTTATCGTATACCTGGTCCTATCGTACACTGTGATATTATATACCTATACAGTTATACACTGTTCAATAAAATGGTTCATCAATGACGAATGATCTATAATTTCCGTTAACTAACCTAACCACTAAAGGTTGTGGATTTGTGGTCATATACATAATACCACAGAACAATAATACGATAATATAATAATATAATAATATAATAATAATAATTATATTATATAATAATAATAATAATATTAATATATATAATAATAATAATAACAATAATACGATAATACCAAACAAATCACACACTGCGGTACTACGGTAGTATATACGTGTATATACGTAGCCATAGGGCATAGGTATAGTCGGTACATAATATGTATATCAATTTCGGTGCTCGGGATAAACTAATATTAGTAATATTTAAACTATGGTAGATGTCATGTAAAAAATAATAGGAATAACCGTCTGGACGGGTTTCGGTCTGACATTCGATACGATAATCGTAAGTATAATGTGCTTTGTGTTAAACGTTGACATTTATTTCAGTGAAGTACACTGCGATTCGACGACAAGACAAAACTGTATTTAAAAAAAGAAAAGTAGTTGGAGTATTTTGATTTGGGGTGACATGTATCCAATATCCATATATGTATAWATAGACGTATAACCTAACCTAAGCCATCTACTGACTACTATAAAATATATACCCTTCAAAAGCACCTCCAGTCAAATTTCCAGGGCCACACTCTCATTCCAGTGTGAAATCTTACTTGGATGTCACCCAGGTTCAATATTCTTTCACAATATCTAATTAGTAATTTCATCACTAATCTCAACTCTTTAATCAGTCCACCAATTACGCTTCTCTTCTCRGTTCTAAATTGACTAATCTCTAAAGTTACTTTATCTCCATAACTATTTCCTCATTATAACATTTATCCAAGGTTATACTTATAGATGATTTATCTATGTTTTAATTTTGTAAACCACTCATTAGTCTTATTTTATAATAATTGTTGAACTATAGTTTTATGCTGGTAGCTAATATATATATATATATAAATGTACTATAATATTATATAGGTACTATTTAATTATTTGATTTTTATTTAAAATGATGATGATGGGATGGGCGCTTTTACTCTATGGTTAATTTTCAATTTTTATTTTGCTTGACTCCTTAGTCCCATGATCACTAAACTCTAAAGTGACGTTCTTGTTAGGGGTAGCAATGCACCTCAATGATTATTTTGAACTTTGGTTTTCTAGGACTTTATGTTTAAGTTTTAAGCTTGTTAATGCYCAGGACTGCAAAAAATGATCATAAAGTATATTTTAAATAGGTACTTTTAAAATATATTCGTAGTATTTATATTAAAAAACTCTTGAAATACAGCGGTRTTGGAATACACATTTTAAATGCAAGCAACACTAAGTTCTTTAATACAGCATATTTTGAATGTATGTAAAAAGTATTCTTAAGAGGACGCCACTCCCGCATAATTTGACTTTCCGTCTTACAATTGCGTAACATGGCAAATCGTACGCTCAGCAGTTCACATTTAGCTCCGTTAGTTTAAAATKTACAGTGAATTGACCTCTTATAAAAATCAAAGGTTCTAGGTTATCATATAGGCTTTTTATTATATTTTAAAATACTCATAACTCGCTTCAAAATTAAAATTTAATAAAAAGCCCTAAGCCTATAAATAATAATGTTACCTTTAATTTTCATAAGAGGTCATCAATTCACTCTAAATTCTAAACTAACGGATCTAAATKTAAACTGCTAAGCGTAAAATCAGGTATGACACACAATTGTAAGACGAATACAACACACATGCGGGTGTGGCGTCCTCTTTACAAGACTGCRGCGATGATGGATGTTTATTCGAGCACAACACATTGTATTATAGCTCTGGCTTTCCGCGGGATTATAGGTATAAAAGAGAGGGTTTGTTTTCGTTTTACGATGGTAAAGTGATAAAATAATATAACCTATTATTACGCATCATACAAGTATAATAATATTACGGTACCCTCGCCAGCATACAATAACACGAAGAGGATTTTGTTTTCATTATTATAAACACCCCGGCTTCAGCGCCCGTTATTATCACCACAACTGCAGCATTTAACAATACTAATGATGCTGGCGATGTCATGATGAAGATAATGTATAATAGGTTGGTAGACGTATATAATGTTATATACAATATAGTGGCGACGGGGAAAAATGAAAATTAAACGAACGACGGCGACCAAACAAAATAATTGATCAACTTTTG